TATATATATATATATATATACTTCCCCATTCCAGCTTCCATCTGTGTTTGCTTTCGTCCAGCTATATATATATATTGCAAGTCCATATTCATTTCATCAAAACAAGTTTGCTTGTTTTACATCTAACATATGGGATGCAAGCGAATCCTCATGTAATAGGACTTTTAAAGTATGACATGGAAGTATACTAACAACTATGATTCTAGTAGCATTATCTTCTTTGGCAAGCCAATTTATTGGTTGATTACCTTCCCTTAGTATGAAACTCCACAAATCAGAATTTTTGCAGATATAAGTTTAATCTTCTTTGTGTGCGTACCATGGCTTGTTGGTAGAACATCCTCTCTGAAGGTTGTAAGTCCCCTCTGGTCACAGGTCCAAGGAATCTTTATTTGGTTTTTGATCATTTGTAATGACATATAATCAGCCGTTTCGATTCAAAAAATGTGTTTAAATGTCAAAAACAAATATTGTCGGCTCGTCAAACAATTTTTCATTCCCCTGTATTCTGCGAGATCTCTTGTTATAAGGTAATTATTAGGGTAGAGATTTAAAAGTTTGGGATCATAAAAAATGGTGCAATAGGATTTGTGGAACAATATTGTGACACATCATATCATTATTCAATAATTTCACGACGTTACAATGTGCACTTATGGGTTGCTTGCATATGTAATGATACACGTAGGTCCTAGAATCCTATCAGTCATGATTTGAGGGTCGAGTGATGGAATTTGACCAAATTCCAAGCTAGCGCTGGTGTGTTGCCCCGGCAATGATGTATATTGAACAATTTAAGTTCAAGAAAATGGGGTTTTACATCAAAAATAGACTCTATCAGCTGACCAGGACATTTTTCAGGCCCCCACAATCCCTAAGATGACCCGTTATGAGGTATAATGATAGAGAACATGTAATATTAGCTGATTTAAAACTATGGGGCGCCAAAAATGGTGTTGCACAATATATGGAATGATGTTGTGACACATCATATCATTTTTTGACAATATCAAAATGTTACTTAGTGCCCTTTTGAACTGTTTAAGTCATTAGGATTGTACTAAATCCCTATAAACATAAAATTCAAGATTTGAGGTCGAGATGATAGAATTTGACAAATTTTCAAGTTATGCCGGCGCGCTGCCCCAGTAGTGACAATATCCACTATTTCGATTCAAAAAATATAATTACACGTCAAAACAAAAATATTGTCGGGCCATTAGGGACATTTGTATGTCTCCCGTAGTACGTGAGATGGCTTGTTATGTGGTAAATCATGGAGGACCTAAAATATTAAAAGATTCCAATGTTATGGGGTGATAAAAAATGGTGCAACACAACAAGTGGAACAGTATTGTAACACATTAAATCATTTTTAAAAAAATTCAAGATGTTATGTTATGCCCTTACAGGCTGTTTAAATAATGTCGCAATACACATAAACCCTAGTCACCTAAAAGTCATGATTTGAGCACTGAGATGATCGATTTTCACCAAATTCCAAACTTGCACTAGTGCGCTGCTCCGACAAAGATTCACTGTAAACATTTTAGGTTCAAAATATAGTCTACATAAAAAACTGATATTGTCGGCTTGCCGGTACATTTTTCACACCCTCAAATGGTGTTGCAGAATGTGTAATGGTGCCGCAATACGTCATATCATTTTTTGCAATTTCTTAATATTACTTTATGTCGTTTCAGATTGTTGAAATCATGTAGGGATTCACTAATAACATAATAATAGTAATTAGAGGTTCAAGATGATGGTGTTTGACCTTTCTTCAAGTAAGCGTTTGCGCGCTGCCCCTATAGTGATGTATTGTCCGCCATTTCAGGGTTGAGGGTTCAGGTTCAGGGTTTTCAGGATTTAGGGTTGAGGGTTGAGGGTTCAGGCTTTCAGGTTCAGGATTTAGACTTCAATGTTTAGGGTTCAGGGTTCAGACTTCAGTGTTGAGGGTTGAGGGTTGGGTTGAGGTTGGGGGTTGGGGGTTATGGGTTTAGGGTTTAGGTTTCAGGGTTCGAGGTTGGGGGTTGAGGGTTCTGAGTTCAGGGTTCAGGGTTCAGGGTTCAGGGTTTAGGTTCTAAGTTTCAGAGTTTCTAGGTTTGGGATTTCGGGTTTAGGTTTAAGATTTTAAAGTTTTTTGAGTCAGGTTTGAGGGTTCAGGTTTCAAGGTTCACGGTTCCGAGTTTAGGGTTATGGGTTTAAGGTTGACGGTTCAGGGTTCCGTGTTCAGGATTCAGGGTTGGAGGTTGAGGGTTCAAGGTTTAAGGTTCAGGGTTTGCGGTTGGGGGTTTAGGGTTCACGGTTCAGAGGTTCAATGTCCAGATTTCATGGTCCATGGTTTAGGGTGCAAGGTTAAGGGTTTTAGGGTTTAGGGTTTAGGGTTTAGGGTTCAGAGTTAAGGCTTGAGAGTTGAGGGTTAAGGGTTGAGGGTTCAGGGGGTGTTTAAGGTTGAGGGTTCAGGGGGGTTCGGGGTTCGGGGTTCGGGGAGTTGAGAGTTAAGGGTTGACAATTCACGGTTTAGGGTTGAGGGCTCAGAGTTGAGAGTTGGGGGTTCAGGGTTCAGAGTTCAGGGTTTAGTGTTCAGGGTTGGGTTCAGAATTTGGGGTTGAGGATTGAAGGTTGAGGGTTGAGAGTTCAGGATTCAAGGTTGGGGGTTAAGGATTCGGGGTTGAGGATTAGGGGTTCAAGGTTTGGGGTTCAGGGTGGGATTCAGGGTTGAGGGTTGTTGACCTCACTTCGGTTGAGGTTAGTTTTTCTTTTTTAGTAGCGTAGGGTAGTGGCGTAGGTTCTAGCCATAGGATTTTTCTGATGACTATTCCTAGAAAACTAGAAAAAGAATCCTCACCACTATAAATTCTAAATTCCTCTTTGCTCAACTTGAAGTTCCACATATTGGTCCTAACCTTTAGTACTTAGTAGTTGGGGTCAGTATGGAGGATCTCAAGGAGAGTCCCTATAAGACTGCTTGACCTTAAGGCTAACCATGGGTGTTGGTCTGGAGCTAGTTCGCTCACTTGCACTAACTACCACCTATATTCACTTGCATCCTTGAACCCAGATTTGTTGACTTTGATCCATTGATCTTTTGGGAGGCTCATGTAGTTGGTCCCCTATACCCACTAACCCTAGGCTAGGGTTTAGCTAGGAACAGTACATAGAGGACCCAGATGGGTATTTCATTGGTCCATAGCTCATACATAGGGTCTGTTTGGGGCAGTTGCAGCTTATCCAGCTTCTGCTGATAAGCAGCTTATCCTGATAATCTGCTGATGACCAGCTGATCCGGATAAGTTGTCTGGCTGTTTGGTTAACGCGTCTGGAAAACAGCTGATTGTGAAAAATTGACCCTTTTGCCCCTGGTCTGAATAAGCAGTTCAGCTGTTTGGTTTGTGCGTTTTGTAAACAACTTATTTGTAAATTTTTTGAGTTGAATGAATAATCTGTGTAGCAGAATGTTATTTTCTCAGA